TTTCAGTGGTTGAACATTCAAAGACAAAACTATAACAAAAACGATATTTTAATACGATATTTGATATCCATTCAATATGCAGCCTGGGAATGTTGAATACGATATTCGATACTATATAGTTTTTAGTACTAAAGAATTAACATTACGAATCCCTGTTTTACATCACGATTTTGAAGAAATCTTAAATAAAATTGGAGTAATGTAATTCTATTGAAGCGTGGATCAAATGTTTTTCTTTTGCTATGAAGAAAAGATATGTAAAAGAAATCTGAATAATAATGGATTTTTCCTCGAAATAGTTTTTTAAAATATCTGTTAATTGTAAGTTGCTTCCGTTTTCTTTAGGAAATTAGTATTGAATTTCTTAATGAGGAAATTAGTCTTGATTTTTCATTATAGTACTGAATTTCTCATAAAGAAATTAGTATTTGAATTTCTTATCGGCACTGCAAATAAACAGAGAATCTTGCCTTTCAATTCTTCCAAGACATTTTAATTCTTCTGCTAATCGTTTGTGCAATTTTTAATCTACTGAAATTCCTAATAAATCATTTTCGCAATTACTTTTTTTTACTCTAAAAGTGTTCCACAACTCGAATTATATTCTTACGAACTTCAGTAACGGCATGGTTTAAATAGTCTTAAATTTTTCATCCGCTTATCAGTTGAAAAGAATGACATGAATAATCAAATATGAATCACATCTGAACGTCTCAAAAGTCTTCAGCCGAAGAAAGTAATGGTGTATGGTGTGTATATAGTTGGATTGGAAGCGAATACTGTGAACATCTTCGTGACCACCAAATAATGGATTCAAACAAGTATTGCTCGGAATTAGGCTAAATAAAGACAGCAAGCGACAAAGGGAAAACACGAAAGTGTTATATTGTACAAAATAAAGCTAAATAGAATCCTTTCTTTTTTTAATTTTTTCTTGAAGAAGAAATACTGATAAACTCTCGAACCGACCAAGAAAGAATTAAAAAAATGTGTCAGTTGATCATATTTGGGAAAATCTTTTCATCATCCTTTCATATATATTCTAGTTGTTTTAGAATTTTCCTACGGGACACGACCAGCCAAGAAAGGTAACCATCATCAAAAAGAAAATGTTGCAATGGTAAACCAACAATCCTTCCATTGCCACCCTCAAATGCAACAACTTAGACAAAAAAGAGGCAGACAGAGAAGGAAATGATTTCAAAAATTACCTCAGGCAGTTGTTAATGGAATTATGACGTTGCCTATAAAATGACAGGAGTTATTTTAAGAAAATGTAAATGTATTAGTCATTAAAGTTAACATTGTTTTGAAACTGTATTTTTACTTAATAAACCGTATAAACCTTTGGGAAAAAGTACTAATAATGTTTGTATTTATTTCTTTTCTTAAAATTTGTTAGATGCGAGACACCTTCAGACAAGAAACAGACATCTTGGACGAGCTAATATCTACCTTGAAAAAGAGAAATTTGATATGGTAAGACAACAATCTTTCCAGTGCCAACCTACCAGGCATCACCTTAGACAAAAGAAAAAGATGCAGCCAAAGTGGGGAAATGCGATGACAACGTCGCTGAGTGAACTTAGACATTGACACGCAACTGAGATATATGGAGGGAGCTGGCCAGGTTTTCAGTTTTACAACAACTCTACGGCCACATTCGGCCATGAGACGGATGATGATGATGATGATGATGATTAATCTCGATGTTTATCTATATGAGTGTATGTTATGTATAGGATTTCTGAATTGTTTTCATTAGTTGAATCTAGGCGCAAACGCATTTAATAGTTTTTGTATCTATTGGATGAATTTTTTTTTTTTTCACTCATCTTCAGGATAAGTTTGTGGTCCGTCAAAACCGCTGTATCTTTGTCGTTTCATGCCGTGTGTGATGCCTGTGTTGATCTGATATGGCGGACCTTTTACTTGTTTATAAGCAATACTTAACATCCCATCCGAGATTTCATCGTTTATCGGGGCTTGTATTGTACAACAATCGCTATGCTGTAATAAAAAGGTAAATCATAAGCAAAGACAATAACTGACTGAACGCAAAAAAATGGCAGTTCCTACAACAAGGGCGTGTGTCGAACACTAACTCTGTGCTCAGCCGATCAGGGAGATGGGCGTTAAGCAGTGCCATCGAGAAGTCTGTGAGATAACAACTAATTCATTGTGTGTGGAGGAATGCTGATAAAATAAAAATTAAAAGAAACGAGGAAGAAACGATTAATAACTTTGCATTGACGCTTTTATTTCTGATCTCATTTTCCCTCCCATGTTCTCTGTCCCTATCTTCCATACTCGTCAGTCTATTTAGATATTTTTTCTATCTTTATCCTTGCACTACCGGCGTTTTTTGACGCCATTTTTCTCGGTTTTGTTTTCCCTTTGTTCTGTTTATCTTTCACCTTTTCTTTTCAGCTCTCCAGCTGAAATTCTATTATAAACTCGTTTCGTTTCCTTTGTGTCTAATTCTAATTCTCTTCATTTCCTTCTGGACAACGTCTCTCAATCTTTCCCCTTCTATCTCTCTCTCCCCCTCTCTCACACACACACATGTATCTATCACTGTTTTCCTATCTCTGTAAAATTCTATTCCACACATTTTAACGTCTTATACAATTTTATTGCTCGTTGAATTATCCTTTCCCTCTTCATATCACTATTTCTTTCACACACACACACTCTCTCTCTCGCTCTCTTTCCTCTCTCTCTCTTTTTACTCTCTCTCTCTCTCTCATTATTCGCTCTCTCTCTCTCTCTCTCTCTCTCTCTCTCTCTCCTCTGTCTATATCTATCTGTCTATGTCGGGATCTTTTGTATATTGGTTTTCATTTATCCACTTCCCAAATAATTTCAAACGATATTTTTTTATCGTTTTCGCTTTCTTCGAAATATTTATTAAGCTTAGTTTTATTATTAAACAAACTCATAAGTGAAGAGAAGAGAACTGATTGTATTTCAAACACACCAAAATAATGTTTCGTGAGACTAGATTGCGAATCCCCTCTTTAGAATGTGGCCCTTCTAATTATTATTTAATAGTTAATATGCCTTTCATTCATTCACTCACTCACTCTCAACCACCCTGTTTATCTATCTATATTTCTAACTGTCTCTCTGTCCGTCTGTCTATATATCTGTCAATGTCTGGAACACTTATGTTTTGATTTCCCTTTCTTCATATCCCAGTCTTTTCCATCTTTCTTTTTTTTAATCATTTCAGCCCCAAGTAAGGAAATACTGCTACTAAAACGCATTGGGTTACTAGGAGTGAAAGAGAATGAGAAGAGTTTAGTGAGGAGGAAGGGCAATAAAAGAACAGGATTCAAAAAGACAGAAGATTGCGATTGACGTTGCATTTAAACTTTTGAAGATCGTAAGTGGCAGAGAAGTTAGAAACCGGAAGTTTCATGGGCAAGAGGTGCAAGAAACAAAAATTGTTAGAATAGAACTTACTGTGGTTCCCAATCCAGTAGGAGAGCTTGTTATAACAACTGGCATGAAAATATTTATAGAAAAGACAGAGTGAAGCCAAGTAACAACGGTGTGAAAGTGACTGAAATCGAAACGCCCGGTCAAGAACGATAACTTTACAGACCCTTCTTTTGATTTTGTCGAGAGATATATAGCAGGACGACTAGATAGGTCTGGAATATCAATTGCACGAATGAATGGTTGATTTATGTGTAAGATGGATTCTGTAGAGCACGGCATAGTGAGCCAACTTTCCTAGCAATAGACCTAGCAATTGACTCAGTATAATCACTCAAATTAATGCCAATGGAAAACGTGATACCGGGAAGGCGCGATGAGTTGCTCTCCTGGAGGTGCTTAATGTGACACAAAATCATATGTGTAAAGCACCTCTTGAATTTCGAACCGCTCCCCGGAATGGTCCGGAAGACAAGATTGGTAGCCACCATGTTATAATGTTACGCTCTACATTTTTTTTATACTTAATATATTATACCGATGATTTTCTTTATTAATGCAGTCTTTTCTTGTCTTCCTTTGTCTGTTCAAGTTCATTCATTTTTCTTTTATCTCCCCGGTTTTTTTTCTCTTTGCCGCAATTTTTTTTCCAAGTTTCTTTGTCATTTTATTGCATTTGTTGGTTTTTCATCAGTTTGTCATTTCTCTCATATTTGATTTCACTATTTTCCATTCTTCGTTTATTTTTGCCGTTGTTTGTGATGCCTTATCACTTTGATTTCATTTTATTTATGCTACTTCTAGAGGTAAGCAGTATCTCTTATTTACCATGTTTCTTTCTTTCTTTCTTTCGTTCCCTTGGTCGTTTTCTTTCTTTCTCTTTTTTTTTTTTGATCGTTTATTCTCTCCGTCGGTTCATTGGTGTCTGTATTTTCTTTCCTTTTTTTCTTTCGTACTTGCTCTCATCTATTCGTTCATTCGTCCGTTTGTTTGTCCGTTCCGTTGGCTGGTTTTCTTTCTTTCTTTCCCTCATTTGGTTGGGCGTTCGGTCTTTATTTCTTTCTTTCTTTCTCTCTTTCGTTTGGTCGATTGTTCTTTCTTTCTATATATCACTATTGTTTTCATTTTCGTTTCATCATTTACAGCTTATCTCTCTCACACCTTTCTCTTTACTGCACTGACGTCCCCTCTTTCACACCTTTCCTCTCTCCCACTATTTATCACTCTCACACACTCTCTTTCTTTCTTTCTTTCTTTTTTTTTCTCTCTAAAACTCATCAATGTCAAAACAAGATTAATAAATGCATGAAATAAAAACTGCACTATTTCAGAACTGGCCCCTAATTCGGCTTGAGTGCTAATACATTTGTGAATATTACTGTGATGTTTGGCCTATCACTGAGCAACCCAACGATGGATAAAGAGGTTATTATACAGTGTTTGGGTGAGGTTAATGTAAAAGAATGGCTAATAGCCATTATGGGGCTGTGCAAGAGGTTGTTGCGGTTTCAAGCCGAGTTCAGCGAGGTCAGGTTGAAATAAAGAGATCAGTAAGTTCACTGTTGGCTTGATATTTGTAATGAATCAATGAAAGAAAAACAGCGTAATAAAAAACAATGCATCTCTAATTTGTGGTGGTAAGTTTCGAGTGACAAAAGATTTGAAAGAAAAGTAAGTGATTGGAAGCGTTGTATCAAATTACCATCCACAGGATCTGGTAAGAAATATGCAACAATTTCAATCATCAAGAAGAAGATAGATAGATAGATAGATAGATAGATAGATAGATAGATAGATAGATAGATAGATAGATAGATAGATAGATAGATACTGAAAAAATGGTTGGTTCATTGTACCGTTCCAGTATATATTTATTTAACTCCCCCTGCTATACTCTATCTTTACAAGAGTCAGATCTGACTGAAAATGGAATATTGCTGCTGGAGCTGCCCAGTCCTCACTTTCTTCTCTTGAGAGAGTTCAAAAGCGTCTATGCAGCCTTGTGGGTGATAAATTATTTTCCAACCGACAACATCTTTCCCATCTCTATCGCTATTTCCTTGGCATATGTCCCGACGAGTTACATTCCATAATTCTAGCGGCCAACCCGAGCTTTACAAGTGAGATCCGCCATGCCACGTACACAAGGATGAATCGTCCCTATTACCCTATTCATATCCTAAAAAAATAAGTTCTTCCCAAGAACAGCTGCTTTGTAGAATAGACTCACAGCAGGATGTTTTCCAAATCACTTCGATCATGACCTCTTCATGTCTAGGGTTAATCGTTATCTTTCTTGCATAGAACAATGAACTTCACTTCTTGCTTGGATTGGTTTATTTTGCTTTGTGGCATATCAACCTCAACGAGTTATTTAATGCCGACAAAATTTTTATTGCTGCTAATATTTTTCAAAAATGTATTGCTGGTAATAATTTTTTTCTTCAATATTCATTGCTGGCAATATTTTTCTACAAAAATGTATTGCTTGTATTAAATCCTATTTTTACACTTTCATGGCGTTTTGACCCCATAGCTGAGACCCTGACAGGTGTTACCACCCCGGGTCAAGGTGGACCTGGGAACACCAGCAATTAAGAGGTGCCATACTCCTCAAAACCTCCTGATCAGAGGCCTTGATGTCGGATGTAGCTTATCGTCTTACCCAGGACGCTTCATTTGGTGGGGTCTTACCCATCTGCAGAGGTGCGGTAGGCGTATACTGAAGCGCCAACCGACAAGGCGATTAACTACTTGCCTTTCCTTACATTCCTCTAAGTAGTAATCCTCTACCTTGAGTGGTTCTTGGGCATTGCATTGGATGAACATTAGTATAAAATAGATAGATTGTGACTGAGAGAGAATTATAATCGTCTACAAATATATATTAACCATACTGATATAGATAGCTAGATCATTGTAATGAATTGCTAAACATAGATTTTGGAAAGAAATACGCAACTATTTCATCTACCGAGCAGATACAGCAAGAAGGAAAAGGTAAGTGAAAGAATATGAATAATATCGATTTATTCCAACTGCAGCCGCTTCAGAATATAAACTACATTGATAAAGACACAAGAAAGACAGAAAAGACAATGAAAGATAAAACTTGCAATGTGTGTGTGTGTGTGTGTGTGTGTGTGTGTATGTGTGTATGGGTATGTGTGTGACAGTGTGAGTAAATTTTTTGTAGGTATCTGAAAAAGCAATTTTATTATTCGTTCGTAGAACGTGATCTTTTGTACTCGCGATGATAAAATAATTGATATCGGTAAAAATAAAACAACAACTTATTGACATTTAAATTTACACTGAAGCTAACAAAAAAAAACTAAAGCAGACATTGTATATATTTTTTTGTTTTCGAAAGAAAAATTATCGTGCATAAATATAAAAGATATAAAACCCTGAAATGTTAAAGAGATTGAAAATAATCAACATCCATTCGTCGATAAAGATTGTGATATAGTAAATACTTATTTCCGTAAAGTATGATATCACCGGTAGGATTTAATAAACAAAAACGTCAAAACATTCATTCACTCTTATTACGTGTAAAGTGATGCAGCCGATTCTGGTATAATGCAAATTAAAAATAGTAAGGGTAGTTTTATTTTTCCCCCCAAATACATTTGAAGTGACACTTATATTGGCTTGGTCAAAAAGTCCTTTCGGTTTTTTAACACGCTTTAAACACAAAGTTCTTGATATATTTATCGTCTCGTTTCAGTATCTTCTGCCATCTTGTAAACAGATCCATTATTTCCCGATCTAAGTATTTCCTGTGTTTAATGGAGAAAAACTCTTCCAGGTGAATTTTTACTCCTCTTCAAAGTTGAAGGTCTGTCCATTCAATAAATTTTGAAGAGACTGAAACACGTGACAAGGACGGGCAAATATGGGAGGTGCGGCAAAACTTCCTAAGTCCCAGTAACTTCTAGCGCCTCTGCAAATAGAAATGTGTGTTCTGACATTGTCGTGATGAAGAACACTGCCCTTACGATTAGCAAGTGATGGACGCTTTTGGAGCATCGCTGCGTTTAATTTGTCTAGTTGGTCACAGTATACATCCAAATTGATTATCCTCTCCATTGGAAGAAACTCATCAAATTAAAAATATAACGTTCTCCGATTTCCTGCTTCGGAGTTTGTGGTATATCGTCGTGATTTCCATTGTTACAGACTATCCATTTTTCGTCCTGTCACCATTCTTTTAAAAGACGATCATTTTCCTCACATTTCTTTAATGTTTCGCTGATAGAAATCCGATAGGTATTACTTCTGTAATGTGTGAGATGCTGCCACAAGACTCCTGAGGCTGTTAATTGTATAGACATATATATCACAAAACCCTCCCACACCGGCAAACCGATGTAGGCATAAGGTCATCTGCTTTCCCACCCAGTGACCGGCAGTAACCCACACCAAACCCTGGTATATCAGGCTTATTTGGTCTGCTGTCAAAATTTAATGCAATGTCTCTTCTGGCTTCAAGGCTCGTAATAGCAAAGAGAGTAAAAACGGAAAAAGAACAAGTTAACAATGAAAAACTGAAAAATAAAACACTTCATGAAGTATCTAAGACATTAAGAAACCATCGTAGACAAAAATTCATGGACCTGAAAAGGGAAACATAATCTCTTATCGTAGAAGTCCAGAGCAAATGCATCAAATCTATTCATATGAAATCAAATATATATGCCGTATATACTTGCGTATCCTCCGACGTCTAAAGACCTAATTTTTAGGCTAATGTTAAGGGTGTCGTATCATATATGATATATAAAATTAACGTATGTACTGTTGGTCCTGACTACGCCGAAGACTAAACTCTATATCCGTTTACTGTAGTTAGCTTCAAAATTAGGTTTTCAAGGGTCGCATGATACGCGAGTATATACGGTAAATGAAAAGAAATTAAAAAATATCAAAAATGTCATCAACAGTTGCAAGGTAGCTTTAAATAAAAATAAAATCAGACACACCACTGGAGAAACAATCATTTACTGAGAACTGTACAACTGACTCGAGTTAGATTGCGTAAACAAATGGTATCTTAACAAGCCCGAGGCTGCACTAAAATATTTAAATCGTATAATACTCTGTGACATTAGCATCCAGATTGACGTACTGATCCAAGCAAATAATTGTGTACACGATAAATTATACTAGATCAGAGACACAACTGTGCTGATCATAGAGCTATGTAAAGAAAAAAGTAGAATCATACCAGGATCTCCCCCGGGAGCTGAAAGAGCTGTGGAACATGTTTGTGCCTACATTATCTGGTGCAGTGGGAACTCTGCCACATATAGGAGGTAAGAATAAGGCAGTTGCTGGTGTGTTAGAGATTCTAGACTACCTGTTGGTAAATTACCAACGGCATCCATCAAATTCCTAGTGAGAAGATGCAAATGCAGAAAATGTAAATAATATTTTTTTTTTTTTTTAATTCGGATTCCAATCTGGGTTAACATGAAAAAGCCTACATTTAGGATGCAAAGAAAAAAATCAATCATGCTTTTTATCTGAGGAATTTTTATACTAGAATTGAAATAAATACGAAAGCATGAGAGCCACCCAAGTTAGAGAGTTATAATTTAAATAGTATGGATGAATGTGGTGAGTGAATGAATGAAAAAGAAGTTAGTAGGAAGTGAATATTATATGAACGAGGATAAATAATGATTGACTCTTGACTTGAGATTGTAACATTCAGGGAAGCACACGCTAGAGTTTGCTACACAAAGTGGAACGCGGGGGAAATGACGGTTTTTAGGCTCCGTGAATGTAGCATGGGGGTACCCTAGCTATAAAGTTACGAACTAGCATGATTAAAGAATGAAGCTATGGAAATACCGATCGATGTGTAGGCGAAAATATATTTCCCATTGGTTCAGTCTTTGTTTTATTATTTGTTTACACAGTTTATTCAAAGTTATACACTTTTCACAGAGTTAACAGACTCAAGAAAATGAATATCTGGAAATAAGACATAATTTGACAGTTTCAAACCTGGTTACATCCCGATTTATTTTATTGTATTGCTGTTCAGTCCTTTATATGGCTGTGAATGCTGGACAATCTCCTCACGGATAAAGAAAACACTTGAAGCAATAGAAATTCTAAAGATAATTTCTAGAAGTTCTAGAGAAAATGTCAACAAAAGAACACTCGCTTGTAAGAGACAGTTGAACTTTGGGAGGTATGTGATGAGGGGAAAATGTTTGGAAATTTTGATACTCACAGGACTGACTGAACGTAAGAGGGCTAGAAGAAAGCAACATATAACCTACCTGGCGATCTTGACCGAATAGACAGCTGAAAAGGTTTGGGAGAAATGGTAAAAAGACAAAATTATTAAGTGCTACAAAGAACAGGAAATTGTGGAGAGTCATGAAGCAACAGAAACGTGGTTCTACGAATGATACTGAGATAGGCTATGTGCGGTTAACATGCAGTTTTAAAGAAAATTGAAACAAAAAGAACACTTACACTTAACATCAAAGATAGACAGTTGACATGTCTAGAGCATACACTGAGGAAAGATGGCTTGGAAAATTTGATATTCACAGGACATACGGCAGGCAAGAGAGACAGAGGAAAACAATGCATAACCTCCCTAGCGTGATTGAGTAAATGAATGGCGGAAGAAGTTTTAGGAGTGAAAAAAATGACAAGATTTATTAACAGCTATAAAATACTGGAAATTATGGAGAGCCATGATTGCCCACGTCCTGATAGGAGACGGTATATAGTATAAGTTAATCAGAAACTCTCAGATCACCTATATATGAATATCTACATGTGAAAGTGTACATATGAAAGTGTACACACATATATATGTATATATACTATATACATATGAAAGCATACATATATATATATATATATATATATATATATATATATATATATATATATATATATATATATATATGGGGGTGTGTATGTGTTTGTATGCATGTGATGGCGTACGTATATATGTATATGTACATATGAAAATGCCGAGATTAAATACAATAGAGTATTGGTGTTTTACAAAGAGGCTGGTTTCAATGACAATCTTGACGTTTGCAAATGAAATTGACAAAGAGAAAGTCTAAGCTAGACATCATTACGAACTAAATATTCAATTTGTACAAACAACCAACTATTAAGCTATTAAATTTGACAGATCTTTTATTTCACTTTAAAATATTCTAACTCTCCCATTATCATTATTGTTGGTAAGTCTGCACATCGTTTGAGATGACATGGCGGTTCTTTTATTCACATGATGTAACCAAATTTGCAAGATGTAATTTACAAAATAGTCTCCTACAATGGGTTGTTAAATTTTGTGATTAGAAATAGCCAAATTAATTAATTTACTTGCATTAATTCAGAGTATTTTGAAAGTGTTTTATTCAAAAGGATACTAAGGATACCATGGACAGATCATGTCAGCAAGGAGAAAATTTTTAATGAGCATTGAGACAAGGTGAACACATATAGTTAGAATCGGAGAGAAAAATATTGAAATTTCTGGGATAAATATTTGGGACAGAAAATGAGAGCGGTAATGAGGGGTAATGAGGGGACACACATTTCTTCAAGATACAAAGGATAGAAAGTTGTGAAGAACCATGATCACTGACATCTTGAATGGAAACTGCACATAAAAGAAGATCCCAAGATCCGTGTTATAAGAGTTTCTTTTGTATTCATGTCTATAATATCAGTGGAAATGTCAACTTTATAGTCATCGATTGCTTACAAAGTGAATGTAATAAGTTTAGAGAACCTTAACTCCCGTTTCATATCTCATGTTTATAGAGTTTCAGATATATTTTAAATCACGGTGTACTATGAAGGCAGATAGATCACAGTGGAATATATTTACTACGGATTGATAAACAAGGTAAAATAAACTATGTTGACAAAAAGAAAAGCGAAAACTTTAGATCAAGCTTGGTAAGAGAAATATAAGAAATATATTTTGTTGAGTAAAACTCTTATATCTGTGACAGAATGACTTCTCTTTGTCGAAGCCATCCTATTTACTGATACCCTGAATAACGCTAGCTTAGTAGTGTTAACGAACAGAGAGCAAATAACAGCCGATCCTAGAAGGGTGTAGTTATAAATACGTCTACCTCGAACAAAATATGACACAGGGCTGAGAATACAGTTGGAGTCAACGCATATATGAGCAAGGAACAAACAATTACTCAAGCCCATTGCGCCGATGGTACGACGCCTCAGTAATGACACTAGTTCCATTCCGAAGATGCATTGCTTGGGACGACGGCCTTCTGGGATCGCCCGCATGTTCAAATTTTAGATCGCGGAAATGGCGAAGCCGACGCCAGTAACTATAAGGAGCTACTTTGCTAATTTTGTAATGAAGCGAGAATATCTTATATACTTGTATCTTGAAAAATATATTGTGCACTTGTAAGAGAACACCCTCTTCATTTTTTATCATTAGATCCCTTGCGGGGCTTGCATAGAGTCACAATACCGCCGTGCTTGGTGTTGCTGCTTCGGTTTTCTTAGATGCCAGCCCCGGGTACATCCGGTTTTGAACACGTCGACTATTGAGTACACCATTTCGAGCAAATTAGTGTATAATAATTTCGTAAAAGAAGTTTTTGTGTTCATATATTATTTTATTTAAATTTCTAGATGTTTCACCTATGTAGTTATTTCTACAGTCTATACTGTAAATTCGTACTTCGATTTTTTGGCTGTTATCATTTTGTTTTGTATTAAATCTCTTATTATCTTTAAAGTTGTTGCAACAAATTTTATCGCAACAATTTACGCAGCACTTATTTCAAATAACCGCGTTACCTAGAACAAATATTTCGCTGCTTATGCTAATATTAATACAGTTGGTAATAATATATGTGACAGATTGTTATGGCTGTTGATTATTTACGGCTAATTTGTGTAAACAGTGAATTGAATATTGTCTACGCCGCGTGACAATTATTGTAAAATGATGCGCGAAAATAAGTAATCAAGTAATCGTTTTCAGTCCTCTAAATATCGGTGTCAAATTTTATTCGCCATATGAACATCCTGTCGACATTAGAAGTGGAGCATTACGAAGAACCATAAAATATGTACGCAACAACCAGATCGATATTCGAATTTAAATATATTTTACCAAGAGAAGATCTTCTCTTTTTGTGGATCTTCATAGTCGCCTTTTTCTTTATTTTGTGAATTGCAATTTCTTGGAAATATATTGAAGTTGCTTCCCGTTGTCTTCTGCTCGGTTTTAAATTCAGACTTTTTCTTCATCTAGACTGAACGCCAGCTAAGGCTAGGGAAACCAGTCCACCTTGTTTTTTAAGCCATAGCTGAAGGCAAAAGCAATTGATTCATTCTTTTTCTAAAGTCATTAATGCAAAAAGTGAACGCAACGAATTCGGTTGGAATTTAAACTCTGTTCCCACTTTCCTTACCGATAACCGCTACGTTACTCGTACGTCCGTTAAAAGAAAAACACGGAAGAAAAATCTGGCCGCTAGGTGGTTAATACAATGTAACGATTGAAACGGGCCAAGGCATTTACCTAACAGAATTTTTCTTATTTTATAAATTGTAACAAGTGATTATAATCAAGTGTAAAAAGAAAATAAAGTAATTGATACGAAGTAGGTCATGAGACCATGACAGAGCTCTCGAAAAAAAAGGCTTTTAAGGACTTGATTTAAATAAGAGTTTTTCTTTATTTCGACAAGTTTGTACAAATGAAATTCAACTGATCGAACTCTTTAGACAGAAGATTCGACTTCGCATTACTCTGTGACCGCAAGGCCAGCTTTAAATCATGTAATTGAGAAATAAACGTTGGCGAATAGGCGGAAAGATTTCGATAAGCACGGATCAGCACCAATAGAAAATGGATTTAATGAAGTCTGAGATGATCAGATGAGATTAATAGTCAGATAATGAATAAACGTGGCGATGGCAATAATAGGAACGAGGGAGGATGACGCAAAAATGAGCAGCAAATGAAATTGGACAAAATGATATTGTAATGAAAAACTAAAAAAAAAAAAGGAAAAAAGCGATTCAGTCGAAGTAAGAGAAGAGGTAAAAGCAAAGAGCTTCTAATAATAGCAGGGCAAGAAAAAAAAAGGTAAGGGGAAATCATAGATATATTGATGATAACATGGGCCCGAATCAAATCCGAGAAAACAGCATATAATTATGTTACCATTGTTAAAAACCTTTCGACTGTTTTTTGGTTTAAAGGACAAGAACTGAGACAATTAACTTGAGGGTCAATGGGATGACCTGTGGGTTAAAATCGAAAAGAGTGGTGGGAGAATAAAAACGAAAAAGGCTCATTTCCTACGAGAGGCAAGGTCTTTGCATTTGGATGTTGGACGAAAGATAGAAGAATTATGATATTGCGAAAAAATAGAGATGAGAAAGTAGCGTAAAGATGATGATGCGGATAAGGAGATGCAAAGGAAGAGTAAGGAGGATGACGTCATGGATATGGATGAGAAGGCAAATATTGATGACATCAAGGATGAGAATGATGACGAAGGAGGGAGAATAATGATTATGATGTAAACCACGGAACATCACCAGGAAAAATAAACAGATTTGTTTTGAGGAGGTTTTAGTATTGGATATTTCAAAGCCAAATCCTGATTAAAGCTCTTGGCCAATATGTTTCTAGTTTGTTTCGTTTTTTTTTATCTATAGGGTTTTAGAACACTTGTTAAACACACCAATGAGAAATTATAAATATTCTTTACATGAGAACAAATCGAATGCAAAGGATTTTATAAGAAAACATTTCATATTGAATTATTGTTTATAGAGATGGCTTTTGTAATCCTAGTAAATTTATAACATCCGCAAAAGATTTTGTATTTCTAAAGTATTTTAGTATCTGTCTATATTTCTGAGCTGAGATGAGGTATTATGTACACTATTTACATTATTTGAACTATTGTCCTCATCTTTGTTGCCATATTTATCACAACGTTTCGGCCGTTGTGCTCTCCGGCTTTCTTCAGCTTGTTGGAATGTCGTACTGAACCCTTTATTTCATTCACTGGGGTAGACTGTTCTAATTCCACGTGCCATGTCTAATGGATGTCAATTATCAGTTATCTCCTGTTAATTCACCACTCCAAGTTCTCCACTGCCTTAATCAGGTATTGAACTCACACTCTTTGGGTCCTGTCACTGGATTTAGCCAACAACTTTATCCATTGCGCCATGTGTCCTTAAGGACATCTTTCTATGAATTTCTGGGATTTATAAACTTAATAAAGGGTCCAGTTCGACATTACAACCGCCTGAAGGAGGCCGGAGCGTACAACGACCGAAAAGTTGTGATAAATAAGACAACAAAGATGAGGACAATAGTCCAAAGAATGTAAATAGTGAAAGGTATTTTAGTTTGTGGATTGATTTTCTGCTTTGGGTATGTTTTCTTTTTGATTTGGCTTACTACCATATCTTGTTGAAACGCCGGTTTTCGTACTATCATCGAAGTTAAGTAACGTAGAGCCTGGCCAAGATGGTTAAACGCTTGGGAATGCCAGGTGTTGTAAATTTGAGATATACGGGTGGTGTAATGGGTAACAGCTTGCAATTGGAAACCGGAGAACTAGTCGTTATATTCACTTACGCGAAATTACCTTTAGGAAAAGTATGAAAGTACATATTTTCGCCCAGCTATGGGTTAATTATTAGGACTTGTATCATTATTATCTCCAAAAAATTCTTACATTCCAAAAATATTTTCTAGTTGTAAATAATCTGGAAAAGTTTGATAAGCAGTAAAAAACAAATCAATTATTTTATTTTTATTTATACTGTTAAACATAAAAAATAGGAACTTCGGTTAAATTTCAAATAATGCTTATTCATAATAGAAACTTAAAAACTTTAAGTGTCTGTATTTAGTAATTTATTTTATTTCTGTTTTAAAACTTTACCTCACTGCACTAAAACCAAACCAGTTACGTTACAGCAATAAAACATCGATATTAAAGAGAGTAAGATAAATCTTTGGTTGTCTTGCCATAATCGTTGGCATCGGCTCGTTATTTACCAAGACTCGACAAGCAGAATTCATAAAAGTATCTGGTTTTCTTCATTTCGAACCGCCAAATATTATTATTGCTAATTTTTTCATACAACAAGGTGTGAGTAAAATTGGATACAAATCCGACCGAATGATATATACATAAGATAATTTAGAATTTTTTCTATTTTGTCATATTTCACCAATGAGCCGGCGTGATCAGAAACATAATTTAGCAGAAACAAAATCTATATTCGTGAGACGAAAGGTGATTCAGAGTAAATGGCCGAACGCCGCAGATTTACTTTAACTCATTATATTCCACTTCCTGCGGCTTTATCGTTACTCTGCCCAAACATCATACCGACTTGATAGTGTTAGAAAATAATCAATACTATATATTATTCTAAACAAACAGTTTCACGCGTTACTCGATTTTGCTAAGTATTGTTTCATGTATTTAGTTTTATGCATTTTTCTGTCATTCGATCCAACAAAATAAAAAATCTATATTTCTAATAAAACTGCGAGACAGCTGTAAAATCCTTGCAGTCTAAATATATACTGTTAAGAAATTATAGCCAACTTAACGTTCAAAATTACACTATTAAACGACACGGTAAAACATGGCGTTTAAAGGTGATAAAGTTTTTTTTGGGTAACATACGATGATGATGGGAAAAAAGGTTTCTTTTACATAATAAATATTTGCTTTGCAACATAATCTTTATCAGTCCTCTTTATATATTGATAACATAAAGCGAACATTATATATTGAAAATTTCAAATTAAAATTCAACCAATAACTACAGACTTATTACCCTCGTTAATACATCTTTCTACGTATGCATGCAAAACAAAAGAAAATTTCCTCTTCAGGAATGGAAAGAAAGAAAGAAAGAAAGAAAGAAAGAAAGAAAGAAAGAAAGAAAGAAAGAAAGAAAGGTACTATGAGTTTTATTTGTTTTTTACGGCTGATCAACTCTTTGTGGTTTATTAAAAGTTGAAAAATATTTTGGATTGAAAGAATGATTCTTATTTTGCGAATGAATTTTGCATTAGCAATTTTTAGAATAAAAATGTTTTTTCTATAAGCAGGTCCTACTATTTAACCCATAGCTGAGGGAGCATATGGATTTCTACCTTCTCTTTGAAAACATGTGTAGCAGATGAACCTTTTGATAGAATCAGAACGGTGTAATCTATACAATTTGCCAGAGATAAGGAACTGGCGTATCTTAAACATTCAATATTTTTGTTACAAGAATTCTCATAGTATTCGTTAATATATTATTATCAAAACTGACTGCTCGAAATCCTTTCAAAAAATGGTTAGCATAAAGAAAGAAAATGACGATGATGATCAAATTAAAAAAAAAATTTCTATATCACGAGTGTCCCCCCCTACAAATATATAACATTAACTTTTATACTTACGTTTATATTTTCATGAACATCTAACATTATCAAAGCACTTTAAAGTTTCAACTAAAATATATTTTACATCAAAACATGTACACACGTTCTTGCAGTTTATGTCATATGCTTGCTTAGTCATAAATTTTACTCAAAATGAGACTTAATGAATGTCAGATCTAAACGTAATGGTTGGACATTTTATCTCTCTTCTCTTTGTCTTCACTTCTTTGATTTTTCTCTGTCACTTTTGTCGTTCTAATTTCTCTTCTTGTTCTTCAATTATGGTTTCCCTTCTCTCTTTTTTTTTTGCCGAGGGGGGGGGATGAAAGTGAATCAATCCGGAACGAATGTATCGACAAAATGTATCAAGTTGCACGCATGAATACATCCCTAACTATATAATGTACATTCATACATGCTAATATGCATTACATAAACATATATATATATACACACACACATATATATATATATATATATATATATATATATATGTGTGTGTGTGTTGAACGGTCCGAGAACATTTCAGCAACCTATTGTTTCTATACATACATACATATATATATATATATATATATATATATATATAAAAAGAAAGAACATACAAAGTTCTTTAGCATTTAAGCATTTACTTTTTTTTTTTAAATGTTCAATACAACGTAGAGAATAATATTTTTATTTAAAAAATAGTTCACAAAAAAAAGTTTGCGACACGTAAATTTAAAATTTATGATTTAAAAGTTTATTCTTAACCGGATGTATGGTGTTGCGTCTTCATATGACAGCTTATATAGACATGTATATAAATAACACACGTCCCCCTAATCTCTAACCTATATTTCTAACTTTTCTACTTTAGCTCTGACTCGTCTTTTGTTTGGTCAACGGTGACATACCCGTAAAATTTTGAAATCTTGACCCCACTACTTCTTAACTCTTTAATAAGCTAACGTATTGCTTTCTGTTTACAAAAGTAAATCTTTTTCATCAAAAGTTACCTAACATTGCCTGATGACGGGCCAAAAATTTTAAAGTACCGAAACATAGAAATTTTCGTGTCACAATGTAAAATATTTATAAATAAAAATATTATTAAAATTTATACATATATATATATATATATATATATATATATATATATATATATATATATATATATATATATATATATAATATATATATAACAAGTTGCTGAAATATCCTCAGCCCGTGCAAGAAGCCCTTCGCATAGAAACTATAGACATTTGGCCAGATTTTGGAAAGACGATCCGACAGGTAACTTTTTAGTACCCCTTATATATGTTTAAGAGAATATGATATATATATATATCTATATATCAAAACATGTTCGACAATTCTTGAAAAAGTGGAAAAATCCTGTGTATTATGTTTCATTGTAGAAACGTCTGATAAAGTCCTTCCAATTTTTATATAGATAGATAGATAGATAGATAGATAGATAGATAGATAGATAGATAGATAGATAGATAGATAGATATTCTGCATCTTATATTATTAGCCATTTAATGCATAAATAGATAAATACCGCTGGGAAAAGTATGACTCCATCTCTTCTCTCCCAGATAGGAATAAATAACAGGAAAGACTGGGTCCTATAAATGATCTTATGTTTCAAGAATGGTAAAGAAAAATTATTGGAATTTTTGCCCAAAATGATGGTTACATCGTCTTGCTCAATTAGGATGCAAACCGCTACGTTCAGTACAAATGTAAACAAACCTAAGCGATTTGAAATGTCTATATTTTAGAAATCTCAGATTAACAGACATTTTTTTTAATTTAAGCTTTAAAATTGTGTGTAAAATTGATTGAAGTATAAAGAATAATTTTTAATAATTTCAGTAATACTTGGAAATTGCTAGAACGTTCGACAATGGAATCTGAGAAAATTCGTTGAAAATCTTGTATGACTCCTATGCTAGCCTTATAAAAGTAAGTTGAATAATTTACTTCATTTGCATACGTTCCGTATAAAGATATAAAAAGGTAACAAATATTTGTTGAGTTATGATTTTTAAAAATCTTATGACTGCTAAAAAATGCAGAAAAGCTCACGATGTCGAGTCCTAAACTAAACAGAAAGCCATGTGAGATTAATCATTAAGTACATTGTTTTGTAAAAGATCAGCTTTGAGTTCTTAACGATACAAGAATTTAAATAAAAGATTATGTGAGCACAAACTGGACTTTTTGCAAAAATATATGCTCAGTGTATTGATCATAATAGTTCTCATCGTAATTTTTTTTATTTGAAGAAAGCAGTTTTAAAAGAAAAAGTGATTTATAAAGTCAACAAGTCTTCCTCAGTAAATTTACATCTTGGATCATACAACATATGACTCCAACAATAAAAATATTATTACTCTAAAGAAGTTCCTTCTCGGGAGGAAAGGTGTGACTCATTCTCTCTCTCACACTCTCTCACTCTCTGTTCATTCTCTCTTTACCGCCATACATACATACATACATACATACAGACAGACAGACAGACAGACGTTCCACTTAAACAGCTTCTTCCTGCAAACCACTAACCCTGACTCCCAAGAGGATGTTTTCCCGACCACTAACCTATTCAAGTCTAGATTTAAGCGTTGTCGTCTCCTCCTATCTATATAAACGATCCCTTAACGTAACCCACTACCTCGGGAGCCCCCGGTTCCCGTGCCTTGTTCAGGGTGAAACTTACTATAAAAAATAATATACATATATATATATATATATATATATATATATATATATATATATACATACATACATGTACATACATATATATGCATATATATACATATATATATATATATATATATATATATATATATATATATATATATATATATATATAGATATATATATATATATATACATATATATATATATATATATACATATATATATATATATATATATATATATACATATATATATATATATATACATATATATATATATATATATATATATATATATATATATATAAAGTTCGGAAAGTCCCCTTCCGACCCATTTCCCGAAATTATGACCAAATTATCAAACAATAGAATTTTTAGCCCCCATTCTCGCTTGCTTGTTATACTGGTGTGCATGTTTATTAAGACTCAAATTATAACGGATGTTTTTTTTAATGTTTATATTTAAATGTTTGAATTTAAATTTTTGGTTTTTTTATGTATTGAAATGTTTGGATTTTTAAAATAATTGTATTTGTATGCATACGTTACTTTTATTTAGATAGATAGATAGATAGATAGATAGATAGATAGATAGATAGATAGATATTACATGTATGTGCATGAGTCTGAATATACATATATGTGTGTTTGGTTATTCGGGTTGCAGCATGTACTTTAGTCGATTTTGCCAAGGGTTTCAATCATCCCAGAAGTGCATCAGGCACTCCTCAGTTCGATGTCAACGTCAGCCGGGGTCTACCCAACCTGAACGGGCCGAGACCGAACCCCATGTATGCCCACATCTCATAGTCACGCCTTCCAACAACCCGCACTCTGTCTTGCGCGCAATAAAATCTTTCTTTGATCGTTCACGTCTGACATGTGAGAACGTTACTCGCCAACGCGTTGCTCACATACGGATGACCATAAAGCTTCAAACACAACGAAAGTGATTGTTAGTCTATTAATGTTGTGCTTATGATACGGTCTGCTTGTGTACGGAAGCACGGATACCTATTTTATATTCTGTCAACCTCACTTTCAGTTGGCTTACTTGTCTCCTCATTTGACTAACCTCTCTATCTAGACCTCTCTTACTCTCTGTTTGTTTCTTGGTATCTATTTTATTCTCTCTCCTTGTAATTATTATAAAATTTACATAAAGGCAATAATACGGGGTTATCTGTACACAAGATAAAAATTCCATTTTTCTATAGCTCTTTTCATACAAAGATATAAAGATACGTGTCATTTCAGCTATCTAGCTATGACTATAGACATACAAACATAAAAATAGATAAATGTATAGATAAGAGATTACGTAGTAACATCAATAAATATGCAGACTAATGATGAAAAAGTATTTATTTTACACAACAAATATTAATTTTTTTCAGTATCATCTCTTTCATTGTACATGCACTTAATTTAAGTTAATATTAATAGCGTGGTTCAGACATAATACAGTGAAAATTTCAGATAAAAATTCAGCTAATAATAGCGTCAGACTATGGATATATGAATTTGTGTATATGTATAACCAAATTCAGTGCCTTTTCATTTATATTGAAGGAACTCCTCCTAGCTTTACACATCCAGGTTGCGTATGTCTTCACATATCACTTGACAGATCTTCTCATGTGATTGTCATTTTGCTTTGTATTGCATCTTCAAGGGTTTTGCTGCACTCAAAACTTCTTGGTGAGGCTATTTAATCTATAGTCAGAGGTTTTGAATTCAGAGTTGTCCATCATCTAGAAACATCTATAGGCCCCAATCTTTGCGTTGCCTTCCCTTGTCCCTCTGTTCGACCTGAGAGTATCAGATTCTCCGGGCTTTACTTCCTCATTACGTGTCCCAGAAACTTCAGATGCCTCATCCTGATGTTAAGTATAAGCCTCCTCCTTGTTTGCATCTTCTCCAAGACCTCATCGTTGCTCACACGCTTGACCATGATATCCTCAGCATCCTTCTGTAGAACCATATCTCCATCGCCTTGAGTCTTCTTTTCATCTTTGAGGAGACCGTCCAACATTCGCTGGCGTAAAGGAGGACAGATGTCACGTAACAGTTCAGTACGCTTTTCTTTGTTACCAATGAAATCCTTCTGTCTCGAAATACTCTGCCTAGCATTTGGAATGCGTCATGGCCATCGCAATGCGTCTACAGATCTCAGTGTCGCACTTACCGTCCTCTGTCAAAACACTTGCCAGATATTTGAACTTCAGCACCTGCTTTACACATCCAGGTTGCTTATGTCTTCACATACTACTTGACAGTTCTTCTCATGTGATTGTAATTTTGCTTTCTATTTCATAGTATTGGGCAACTACTTTTCTCGTGAAATACGAATTTAGGATATTTCATTATTTTTTGATTTGATTTACCATATCCGCACATTTAGCATATCTCGTGTTTGTCTCTTTCTTTTTTTTTTTTAGATATACTTCTTCACGCATGTATAGCGGAAGAAAAATATTTTGTGAACATGTATAGCGATGAAGAAATATTTATAAGCAGATGCTGGAGGATGCTGAAGTGTTCTCGGACAGCTCCATTTCTCAAAAATTAACCTAACATCAAACACTATATTTTTTTCATCGCTTCTTGGTCGGAAAGATAACTTTTCAGCACACCATCAGGCACGATTTTTTTTTTTAATTATTTAATTATTTTTCTGTTTTTTGTATTTTCAATCAATTCACCCCATGCAAGGTAATAATACCACTAAGACGCAACAGGTTACTGGGAGTGAAAGAAAAGGAAAAGACTCTAGAAGGAATCAGAAACTCAATCCTAAACGGGAAACAAGGGTTAAACCTCTACTCCTGTTCAAAAGACTGGTTTTATTTACAAATTTAGATTTTTCATGTGTGTTTTAATATTTTTACACAGTATGTGTGTCTATAAGATTTTGTGACAAAATACGACAAGAGTGTGTTGAGGTTGGGGAAACCACCGAGCCGATTGGTTTTCCAAGAAGTACGGAAGTAATCGTCAAAGAAGAGAAAGAGACAAGAGGTGACAAAATAACTCTGCCTTAAAAACCACAGCACCATGACATCAGGAACAAAATGCCCACGGGACCAACTTCAAAAAACACCGAATCTCACTCACTGCTGTTTTTCCCGTCGATTTAATTGACATGATACAGTTGAGAGAAACCCTGATGTAGACAAGTTTCAGAGAGGTCCGTATCTGAACATGCAAGGCTTTTCTGCTGCTAACGGTGAAAACTTGAATGTAACTGGTTTTGACATGTCCGCACGCGATCCGGGGCCTCTTTTTCATATGTACTGACACGCGTTCGCCACAGATTTTGCGCCACTATAAATATTAACTGTTGCGCTAATTCCATATTAAATAATTCATTTTCTTTCACAATTTCTACTTTTCCAATTGATTGCTTTTCTACATCATTTTCTCTCTCAATATCATGTGCTGTATCAGATATTTTGGAATTGATATCAGCACAGCAAATGGAAAAAGAAACATTATGTACACATATCTATACACACGCACATATAGGCACACACTTGACAAAATTATTAGCGAGAAGTCCTTAATAACTTATTCATGACTGGTTTGTAAGTATTTCTTGGCCGATCGGCATTAATTCCGGTTTTTAAAATAAAAGGAATGTCAATTCAAAAACACGTGCATCTACTAAAAATAAAGTTTATAGTAATAATAAATAAAGAACTAAAAAAAATGCATTCAAAAATTTCTATAATAATGGCCGACTTCTCGGTTCCGAGTACACTCGTCAGCTAAGGCAGCTAGCTAATCACTGTTGCAGACGCCTGCTCAGGCACATTTATGTTTGTGCAACAGCCAAAGAAACCACCAGTAGTTTATACTACAACTATGCTAAGCGGACCTTAGTTAGTGTTTCCGGGATTAACAGTTTGAACAAACAAGTACGTTCAAACATTCGGTCACGATGACTTATGATATTGTGTTATGATAACCATCGACGGCCTCTATTCGAATAATATATAAAAATGACCACACGCACAGACACACGCAGAGTGTAGCTCTGCCGAGGGAAGATAGCTCAGTGGTAGAATCTCTGACTAACACCAAAACGGTTGCGTTTCGATCCTGGCTTGAAGCATTTCGGATGTCAAGTCGCATTGAGGAGCTGTGATATAGGGGGACAGTACTGTCTGCGATTGACACACGTGTGTGAGTAATTTTTATATATATATTATTGATATATTATATATGCGCGGTACTTATTTGGAAAGCGCTCAATATCAGTGATAGAGCTAACATATTTAGTTGGATTGATGTGAGTTTGTGACCCTGGGTTTCAGACGATCGCAAGGGCATAAAACCCAGGGTTACAAACTCATAAATCCATATATATATATATATATATATATATATATATATATATATATATATATATATATGTCCTGAGTTTCAAACCTTGCGATCGACAGTTGTCAGACGATCGCAAGGGCGTTTAATTCAGAGTCACAAACTCACATCAATCTAAAATATATATATATATATATATATATATATATAGAGAGAGAGAGAGAGAGATATGCGTCTGTCTGTGTGGATTTATAAAGTTGGTTTGCTTATAAAGTATAATATTTAAATAATAAACCGAATGAACCTTTTTTTCAACCCAATACACATTATATTATATATATATATATATATATATATATATATATATATATATATATATATAAAGAGAGAGAGAGGTGGGGAGAGAGAGACCGAGAGAGGGGGAAGGGGATGAATAATAGATCAACACTGCATGTTGGTTGTCAGTTTCTCACTTCAATACTATCTTAAGACCCTGATTATTGAATCTATCATTTATTCTTCTTTGCCATTTTCTTGTATATATCCCTATTCTTTGTTCTTCCTCTAAATGAATCCTTTCTTTATCTACAATACGTTTATTTGTCTTCTATGTCTACAATGTGAACACTACTTTCCTTCTTCTAACCTCATTACATTCCCACTTGTTTCTCTTTCTATTCTCACTTTCTCTTTTTCTGCTCATCTTCTAATTTCTCTCTTCCAACATATTCGCTACATCAAAACACGAAGGGATCGCGTGCACAGATTCTTTTCACATGACTAAATTGCTTTCATTGCCATCTGTTCCCCGCCAATCTGCCGCTGATTTGAGCCGGCAATCATTGATATCCGGCATTTAATGTACATTCCGATTGAACATCTCTTCACCAGGGTCGGAAAACATAAAATGTGTTTCAGTGATGGGCACATTTGAAACGAACTCTGCGACTCGAAGTAACGTTCTGTTACTCGGTCCCTTGCCACAAAATAAACAAAGTAAAGGAAAACAAATCATCAATTCTTCGTAGCAATAAATGATAATTTCCAAATAACATAGTAATGGCCTTTATTTCTACACATTCACCTTGACAAATGGTGACTCAAAAATATTAATGCTTTCATCTTAAGAAGGAATCCTGCCTACAAACATATTTTTCTAAGCGTTCCTTCCTTGAAGGTTTTGCTCATGCACTTACCTGAAAAGTCATATTTTCAGCCAGTCACAGGACGACCTCATTCGAGATCACAAGAATAAATTGTGAACGCCATAATCTTTTCTATGTCTGTATATTATGC